CTCGGGTTGTGGTGTGGGGGGACAGACTTTGACTCTGAAGAACCGAAAGGCAGGGCAGGGCTGGAGGCACTTGGCTCCAGGTGTGCCCCTGGCTGTCCATCCTATCGGTGTGGCGTGACCCTCTGTGGGCAGCACTGGGGGAGAGGGTGCTGCTGAGAAACGGGGAATGGCTGCCCGGTGTGGGGTGCAGAGAATCTGGGGGGCCGTGGGGGGCACTCACCGTGGAAGGCCCGCAGGTAGTTGTTGCCCAGGTACACCAGGTTCTCCAGGGCGGGGTTAAACTGCTCCAGGATGCTCTGGCCCCAGGCAGAGAGGGAGGGTGAGGATTGGGAGAGGAAGAAGGAATGATGGGCAGAGGCAAGTCACTGGGCTTCAGGAGCAGGGCACCCCTAGCCTCGTGAGAAGCCTCCAGAATCTGGGGGAGCCAGCCTAGAAACCTGGGGTCACCCAGAATCCCGCACAGGCCTCAGAGGCCATGTCTGTTCAAGACCAGGGCCCCCCTGGCCAGCTCCTGCTCACACACCTAACCCGGAGGGTCCTGGGCCTCCGCCGGGTGAAGCCTGCCAGCCTGTCGCAGGCCCCAGCTGGGCACAGTTCAACCCGGGCCTGAGTCCAGGCCTCGCTGGACTAGACACACAGGCTGCCCACAGTCACCTCAGAGGTGAGGGCAGATCTGGCCCCCTCTAAGAAGAGCCTTCTGGGAGCAAGGCCACCCCAAGCATGGCCCGCGGGAGGGCATCCGGTGGTGGAGATGATCTGCACCTGGACCTGGGTCTTGTTTCAAATCCCTGCAGCCCCTCTGCCTCCCTTGGTGCCCTGAACAAGCTGATTGACCTCTCTGGCCTCAGAGTTCTCATCTACCAAATGGGGTGATCAGTTTTGGCCCCACGGGTAGGATGTTGAGAGGCCTGTGCGAGGGGCCTGCACACAGGTGCTCGATAAGGGTCTTTGGAAACGCAACAACCCCTCTGCAGTGAAGTGGGGAGTTTGAGAGAGGGGTTCAGAAACGACAGTGAGACAGACAGACAGACAGACACTCCCCACTCCCCGGCGGCGGCTCTTGGGGCCCTGCTCCAGCTGCAGCTGGGCCCTGACCTGCCTCACCCAGCGTCTGGGAGGCGGAGGCTCCTGCTGAGCCCGGCTCAGCAGGCCCGTCACTCACTGGGTGACTGTGGACAAACCCCTGCCCCGGAGCCTCAGGTTGGGGCTGGGGGGGCTGACTGCTCCCAGAGACTCCCCCACCCCGACGCCCGCCGCTGAGCCCGGCCGGGCCCCACGCCTTCCCTGCCAGCACACGCGGCAGCCACGCTCAGCCTGCCCTCCGGAGCTGGCCCAGCTGCTGCTGCCGTGCTCACCTTGTAGATGGCCATGGTGGACCTGTAGAACTGGTCCATCTCGGGGGCCATGGGGCGGCTGGCCGGGGCTGAGCAGCAGGCTGGTGTGCAGGGCTGGGAGCACCGGGTCGGTACCGTCTGTCTGTCCGGTGCCCACTGCTCAGCGGTGGTGGTGGAGGCTACAGAGTGGGACCTAGAAATGGAGGGCCGGCCAGGAGGAGGCGGCAGCTTAATTATTCACCAGCCGGGATGTCAGCCTGCGATCTGGGGCGTAACCGGACCCGGGGGAAGGCATCCTGTGACGCGGGCGGGCTCGTGTGACCTGCCTTCAATTATTTACCCCTCAGAGCTGCGGCCGGTGGCATGTGTGGATGAGCCTCTCTGAGGTCACCGCCACCTCCAGGACCAGGCTCCGCCAGGCCAGCCGGAACCCCGGCTCTGGGAGGACCCCTGCCCACCGAGGGGCTAGGACCGCTGGTCACCCTCCCCCAGGTCGCCCTCCCTGACAGCCCCCTGGAGGCTGAGCACCCAGTGGGGGTCACTGTTGTCAGCTTCCTGCTCTCCTCTGAGCCCCTCAGACCTGCACCTCGAGTGCCCAGCTCATGTCCGCTGCTGCCGTCCAGCCCCTCTGCGTGCTGGACAGGGGACAGCACTGCCTCTGATGTCGCACAGACCCGGGCCAACCTTGGCCCTGCTCGCTCACTGCGTGACACTGAGCCCCCGCCCACCCTGGACCTCACCCGCTCCCGGAAAATGGGTCTCTCTCTTGCCGGCCTCCACTGGGGCAGGTGGGCCTGGGGCCACCTCAGAACGCCCTCCCCAGCCACGTGTGGGGAGGCCTGGAGGAAAGGGGGTCCCCCCATCGCAGGGAGCTGGGAAACAGCAGCCATGTGAGTGGGCACAAGAAGACGAGGGTCAGGCTGAAGGTCAAGGCTGCAGGAGCTGGTGGGTGGGGGCACTCACACCACAGTGCACGCAACGCAGGGCAACCGGAATCAAACCGTTTATTTCACAGTTTGGGGCGCCACGCCCCATCATAAATCACTGTCCAGGGAAGAATCACAAGTCCAGGAGCAGCCGTTGGGAGCTGAGGCAGCTCACAGGCGGGGCAGCCGAGGTGCAGGTGGCGGGGTGGGTACTGAGGTGCAAAGTTGAATGGGGCACCCCACTCCCGAGTGTGGGATCCCCCTGCTGATGGGGTGGATGTTGGCCAGTTTCTGTAGCTTCTCCAGCCCCACCCCCAGGGCAGAGGGCAGAGGGCAGATGGGCGGCTGCACCCCAGAGGACCGGAGGAGCCCAGGGCTGGGCAAACGAGGGCGCCCTTAGTGTCTGAGTGAGAGGTGGAGGGGGTGGCTGGGCGGGGCCTAGGGGGACAGCAGCAGCTGGATGAGCTTCTGGAACTGCTCCCGGTGCTCGTGAATGTACACCTCGGTCTCCCAGAGGGCGTTGACCAGCACCGTGTCGCTCACCTCGTCCAGCATGATGTCTGTGCCCAGCTGGGGGTTCAATCTGCCCAAGTCAAGGAGGAAGGGTCACCCCAGGACTCTTGGCCTGGGTGGGGGAAAGGAATGTCCCTGCCCAGGGCTGGGTGGGGAAGGCCGCCCTGTCTGGCCAGCCAGGGAGCGGGGCTGGGGCTGAGGGCCGGCCCTCACCTGAAGTACTGGATGCCGACCATCTCGCACCAGGCCCGGGCCCGGTCCACGGCCCGCCCGTCTGGATCCGTGCACTGGGGAGAAGCAGCCTCCGTGAGCACCCAGCCCACCCACAGCCTCTGCCCGGACCCCGTCTGGCTCAGCCACCCATCTGCAGAGGGACTTGGGCAGGTCCCCTCCCTGGGCACAGCGACTGCCCCAGCTGGGCAATCGAAGGGGCAGGGCCTGGGGTTCTCCCAGGTGGCTCAGCGGCACCACTGAGGGTCAGGGAGTGTGACAGGGCGACAGGGCTGAGTGGCAGCCTCCATGCCCCGCCCCCCGCAGCCTTTGCCATCAGGCATCTGCGGCCGCTGCGGGGAGGCCCCGCAGCTAAGAGATGCTGGAGCCCCTGCTCAGGTGGTCACAGGGTCCCCGCGGCACTGTGGGAATCGGGACCCCTCCCTGAGCTGGCTAACGCGGACCCACAGAGCCCCTGACACCCGGGTACACAGAAGAGGGATGGCACCGTCCTGGGCTGAGGCTGGAAGAGGGGCCTGGGGAGGGGTCCATACTCACACAGTCCACCACCATTTTGCCCAGTTCCTTGGCCCCAAAGACAGTTTTCGCCAGTTCCCAGGGGTTGCTGGGACGGAAGACGTCCACACAGGTCACGGGTACCTGCGGGGACTTCCCTGTCCCCAGAGAGACGACCATGGAGAGTTTCTTCACCTTGCTGCCCTGGCCCTGTTGGGGACGGGACGGGGTGGTCAGAGGAGACCTTCCCCCGCGGACCTTCGCGGGGGAGTGAGGTCTCGGAGGGGCCCCGGGGGAGCGAGAAGAGGTGGCGGCGCCTGTGGAGGAGCGGGGCCTGGGCTGCCTCCTTCACTCGGCAGGAGCTGTGCTGCCCGGAGTCTCTCCACCACAGGACCTTCCTCATCCCACAGCCTCCTCCCGCAGGGAGCCTGCCCTGCCAGGCCTGGCCCCTAGAGGGCGCTCACCCTCTGAAGGCAGAGCCCCTGGCCCGCCACCCAGTGTTGCCTGAGAGCTTAGTGATGACCACAGTGGTGACCACAGCCAGCAAGGCCATGGTGCACTCGGGTCAGGCGCTGTCCTGAATGCTTGACAGGGAGGAGCACAGGGGAGCCTCCTGACCATCCCCCGGCCCCTGCTACCAGCCACGCACTCAGTGGCTGAAGGGGAGGGCAGGCAGAGCCGGGGCCCAAGCCCAGAGGCCGCTGCCCCCCTGTCCCGACCGGGCTCGGAACGCTCTCAGCACAGCGCTGCGGGCAGACACACCGGCCAGGCAGTGCATGTGAGACAAGGCTGCTGCTGAGAGCGCGGGCAATGGCCGCAC